CCAAACCAAGAAATTCATGTAGGAGTTTGGGTTATAGGTCTATCCTAATGGAAGTGGAGTCACTGGAGTGACATGAGATGCCATCTGCTCCAGAATCACTACTTGAGTAGGCTGACGAAGTGTGGGAAGAATAACCATGGCATACTTCCCCACTTGTGGATTTTTGGTGAGACAAAAATTGAGGCTGCATGCCTTGAGGTCGGGTGGACATTTCAGGACAAACTTTTTTTCGTACTATTCTTTTAGGTCGTAGAGCATAATCCCCTTTAGCCAGCAGAACTCGGTTCTTGTTTCCCTCATCTCCTCTAATATTTCTGACAGCTCTTGTCTTGTTGGACTGTCTAATACGTGTGGTGATGGTGATGGTGTTTGTGGGGGACTCTCCTGGAAGTTGGAGGTGTCTAGAGGAGTCAGTGGGCTGGCATATGGGGATAGGGGATTGAACGAGTGGAGGGACTGAAACCAGGTTGCAAAGACTTGGCCCATATGATGTGAAGGGTAGAAAGACATCATGTTGATGACTGGGTTCCCATGCAGATGGACTGGATTCATGGGAAGTGTTGAGTTGAGGATGATGGCTGAGTCAGTATCTGTAGAGGTGTTTGAGTGGTGAACCACTAATTCTGGGTATAGGCTTCCATGCCCAGACGCATTTCCTCCGTTACAATCTTGGCCAGATGAGAGGGATTCTGTATTAGGAGAACTACTTCTTGGTCGTTCATCTCTAGAGTGAAAATAAGTGCATAACCCTGTAACCCCATTTCCAACCAAGACTGAAGTGGTTGATCCATTGACATGATCTGAGAGGTGTAAACCATTGGGGTAGAGATGTGTTGCAACTGTGGCCCCTGCATAATCAGCCTTGGTAGATGGAGGAACTGATGGTTGTTTTGAATATTCTCTTGCATAGACATGTAGTGACTGGTGTTTGGAAAAGATGGTCTTTGCATCTTTTGGATTATTGAGAGAGTTGCATGGTTACTCGTATATTTGGGATGGAGAAAGAGGATGATTTACCTGACCTGGGGTAGAAATAAGTGGTGGGGCAGGAGTGAGTAGGAGGATTAGATTCATGTAGGTCTTCACATGTTGAGTAATGATTGGGTTTGCATGTAGATGGAGTGTGGGTTTGGTCTAAGTTATCTGGACCTACTGTATCATGCAAGTGTAGTTGGTTTGGGCTTGGCGCTGACAGAGACGTGGCTATTAGGGGTGAGGGCAAATATAATTTGTCTTGTAAGGATTGGTGTTGGGTGGGGACTGGAATATTACGTGGCAATTGTTGATGCTGTAATTGTGTTGGGATAGAAGGCTTACTAGAGCTTACTAGACTAGATAAAGTGTGTTGTGGTAGACTTAATGCAGTAATAATTTGTGTAGTAGCATGCTTAGTTGGAATAACCAAAAGTGGGTCAGTAGGTGGCCTCGATTGGTTAGTAGGGTGTAGCTGCATTTGGCCTAAGGTGGATGGTAAAGCATTAACCTTTTGGTCCTAGTTGTTTATTTTAGTACCAATACTAGATGACCCCTCCCGAATTGGGTCCAAAATAGAAAGACAATCAAACTTATTAAGGCCTATCTTATTGGGCCTCGTATGGAAGAGGTTCTCAGCAGATGTATGGCCCAGTTGAGGCCTAGTAGGGTTAGTAAACTTACCTGGCTGAAGCTGTTGACGTGGAGGAGCTGCTTCTGCAACCGCCTTGTCCAGTGAGGCTATGGAGTTCCTGGTAGTGTAGGTGGATTTTCGTGTGAACTCCACAGTTTTCCACTCACCTTCTTGTGTTTTATCAGTCTTTAACTGAGTAGGAGATGATGTTTCCTCCATAGATGTAGAAACAACCGAGGTACAGTATTGTTTAATATGCCCAAAACGTCCACAAAGCATGCATATTAAGTTTAAGCCTTCATACTGAATTATTTGTCTATGGTGACCTATATTCACATGGGTTTTCAAAGGCTTTTCCAGCGGTACTTCGATACATATTCGTGCGTATCTTCCCCAAGAAGTAGACGAAGTGCATGAATCAATCTTTAGTAGTTTACCCAGTTTTGACCCAACTCTTTGTAGAATTTCCAAATCATAGAATTCAGTAGGAAGCACAGGAAGCCTCATCCACAAAGCTGAGTACGTGAGTTGAGTAGAAGATGCTATAAATTTTGGCTCCCACCTACGGACGGATAGAAAATGGTTCAAAATGAACCAAGGACCACCATGTAGTGTTGTCATCATATTCTCTTCTTTTTTAAACTTTATAAGAAAAAACTCAGATCCTAGATCAATTAGAGGCAGTTCCTCAGTCGGCTTCCAAAGGTTAATGAGCTTGTTTCGCAGAATATGATGTGCAATCTTACGTCCAAACAGTTTTATTATAACTGAATGTTTCCAAGGTTCGTACAAACGCGATTTATCATTCGCAGTGATGGGAATAAAGTTATCATCGTTGTCAGCCTGTAGGAGGAGTTCGTCAGTTAAGATAGCAGCAGGGGTTGTATTACTAAGATTTTCCGGATTCGGTGAAAGGTGTTTATCAAGTAATAGGGTTTGTAGGAAAGTTTTCGGTTGAGAAATTGTGTTTATATCATCTATTTGCATAGATCCTATATCAGGCGCTTCAACTCGCTGTTGTTGTTGATCTGGCCTTTGGGATTGCTGTGGATTCATGTTATGAGTAGATGATATTATTACAGGGTAAGTGAAGGTACTTTAGAAGACAATTTGGCAAGCAGAGGAAAAAAACGAGAGTGTTTACATTGCTCCCGATACAAAATCTTACCCCATACAGCTATAGGAATTCCTTACATATAGTTCCTACTTCCTACTATATTAGCTTTCTTTTTTATATTTGGGGTTAAATGTTAAATTAGTTCAATCTAATATAGTTAGATTGGTTCTTTTTAAATTTATTGTTTGTGTCATATTAAAGTTGTTTCTAATTTTTATAATAATTTATGTCATATAGTTTATTATTTGTATATAATAATTTATAAAAGTTATTTGTGACTGCAAGTTTGTGTCTATGTTGTTTATTATTATTCTAATACTTCTATACATTACATAGTTAATTTTTTCTCCTTTTGTGGATTACATGAAGGTGAGGTTAGTCTATATTATTATTTATTGACTTGGTAAATTATGTGTTTATCTTGTCTATAGTGTTTCAATTTGTTATTTTTATTAACTAAATATAAGAGTAAAACATAGAAATTAAAATTCAAGACTTTAAAATAAACTTCATAGGCTTTTAAAGGGTTAGAAACTGTTAGAGGTACTTAAATATATAAACTTAGCGGCACACATTTAAAAAATTATATTGTTCTGTCTAACTTTATTTTTATAAAAAAAATTAAAAAAAAAAATCTTAAAATGACATTTTTAGACGCATAATGAGGAAATAAAAAGAAGAGGTATATTCAAAATTCACTTTCATACACAAAATAATCCCCAATGATTACAGTAATAATATACTCCCCTCCGTTTCAATTTATGTGAACATGTTTGACTGGGCACGGAGTTTAAGAAAAAGTGAAGACTTGTGAAATTTGTGGTCCTAAACAAATTAAAAATGGGCCCAGAGCATTTGTGTGGTCAAAAAAGCTTTTCATTACGAATAAAATTGTAAATTTAAATTAAATTATTTTTAAATTTAGAAAGGGTTCATTCTTTTTAGAACGGACCAAAAATAAAATAAGTTCACATAAACTGGAACAGAGAAAGTAATATCTAATTAAACCTGTTTGAGTACCTTATCGGGATCATGGCCACTACGAGAACCCCATAGAGGAAATATGAAGGAAGATATATATCCACGAAAGGATTTGATTGATGTTAGTGGCCTCTACGGGGGAAGCCTTTTAGGTGACAGAAAACTCACTGTTATAAGCATATTGAGGCTTGAAAGAGAATACCTGGCACTCATGCATGGTTGACACAATGACTGGTCCTACTGCCCTTTACTGAAAACTATTGACAAATTTTTTCATGCATTGTGTCAGTTATTTTTTCTGATGAACCTAAATTTTGAAAAATGAGCTAATCAGTCATATCCTAGAAATAATATTATACATTGGATATTTTTATTGCTTTTGCTGTCAAATCGCAACTCCCTTAATGATGAACTATTTATTACATCTTATATTTTCAATAGATCCGCTAATAGATCCATGAGATATTAAACACTCTTTCTAGTGAAAATAGAATGGCTAGCCAATTTTTGGACTGATTATTGAAAAATAGCCAGCGTTTGTAAAATTATTAAAAAATAGTAATTATTTTGCTGCAATACGAAAAATTCCAGTATAATATACTAGAGATTTGAGCACCTGTGTATGAACTTTCAGCATATTATGCTGGACCGGTATATTATACTGAAACTCTAATATATTATGCTGAAAGTCCAGTATAATATACTGAAGTTCCAGTATACTTATACTGGAGTTCCAGTGGAGTATTTTTCGGACTTTGAACAGTGTTTTAGTTCAAATTTATCTTTACATGAAATGTGACTAAATTTCTATTCCTTTTAAAACTATGGTTATTTTTGAGTGACCACTTGTAAATCTGGCTATTTTTGAATTTCTCCCTTATTTTTTAAGGCATACTTGTCTCCAACCAAAGTGGGGAGGCCCAAGTGCATTAGCCGCACCCAGGCTGCTTAGTAGCAAAAAGCACGCACATGGGGTATGCCTATTGGAAGATTGGTAAGCCACATGACAAGGATGCAAGCATGAACCTTCGTCCAGCAGAGATTTTGTTACTGATACAATTCAAGAATCATCTAAATTCTAATATTCAGCAGAATGACAAGGATTGAACGAGTACTAAACATCGACCAGTCACCCCTAACCTATGGCAGATTGAGCAACATTTCACTCAATATACTACAGTTAAAAGGGAGAATGAAGAGATTCAATCACTTATAAAGCTGAAAGCCCCAAAGACTGCAGAGCCCTTTCTCCACTTATGATCAAAACGAACAGTTAAATGACTAACATAAATCCAATTTATCGACAAAGAGATGCTGCAATATATTAGAATATGAAACTGTCATTATAATCTGAAACTTGATATTACAATATGAAACTAATCCATGAGAGGACCGGGGGAGGTGGAGAGACAACGAGGTGATGTCTCATCATCAAACTTTGATACTATGAAATGAAACTAGAGGACAAGAGGAGGTAGAGAGACAACGAGGTGATGTCTCTTTTAATTTTATTTCTTTGAGATACATATACACACCTAACGCCACTTCATATTAAATATTCTAGCAAGTTTCGATCAAACACCGGTAATTGCATAACCAGCTTCTTGACTCACATCTTTGACATTGAGTAATCCATCACATCAACGAGAAAATCTATAAAAGTAAAACGACCAAATTTCAAAAACAGAAAATAGTAAGGGAAAAAGAGAAGCTCATAAAGTAAAAGAGAATAATTTACCTGCATCTTCCTTGGTGAAGCAGAGAGGAGGAGTAACCCTAAAAACATTGCCATAAAATCCTCCTTTTCCAATGAGGACTCCCATTTCTGGAAGCACCAAATACGTATATTAGATTAAAAATAAATCCATGCTGATAAACAAAAACTTATTGACTAGAGCATAAACAAAGACAAAAAAAATACCTTTCATCTGCTCCATTACTCGCAATATTTCCACCTTAGCTGGAGTTTTTGACTGTCTATCAGTAACCAGCTCAACGCCAAGCATCAGACCTCTTCCCCTCACATCACCAATTACTGCAGAATGAAGAACCAAGTTTTTGAGATGAAGCTGAGTCAATAAATAAGTAAGTTTTGCCCTTGCTTGCAATTCGAGGGCTTATGACCATAACAGAATACAATAGAATCTTTGTTCATTCTCAAAGTTGGAAGTAGGAACATACTTTCATGTTTCTCCATTAGAGAAGTAAGCCGGTTTTTAAGATATGATCCGACACTGAATGCATTTTGCTGAAGCTTCTCTTTTTCAATTACTCTGAGAACAGCTAGGCCCCCAGCAGTACACACAGGATTACCGCCGAAGGTGTTGAAATAACTGCGATTAGTCAGGACCTTTGCAATCTCGGGTGTGGTGACCACAGCACCAAGTGGGATGCCATTTCCAATGCCCTGATTAGAATTTATTCTCAGAAGCTTAATAAAAATGAAGAGAGAATGTCTACATAATTGCAGTCACACATATCCATAGGAAGAATTTTCTGAGGTTTCATTAATACGACTTTGCTTGGTTAAGCTAACATATGGAACAATCTTACACAGCTGCAGATGGCATTAAAAACTCTGGAGGAACTGGTATATGGTGAACTAACTACCCCTAGAGAAGCAACTTTCTGGTAATGAGCAGCAGCTTTAGGTCCTCCCCCAACCCAAAATAGAGAAATGACAGTAAAGATAATGGTAAAAAGAAGATTAGTCATGCAATTTAATTTCAGTATCATTATCTAAAAGCTGGAGTCTGAATGTAGAACTATTCTGTGAAATCTCAACGGAAACAACAAACAGGATAAAAAGAAAAGAGCATGGAGAATCCACCTTTGCCATGGTAACAATATCAGGCACGACACCGTGACCTTCAAATCCCCAAAAATGGCTCCCCGTCCGAGCAAATCCCGACTGGACCTCATCAGCTATACAAATGCCTCCTGCCTTTCTGACTCTGTCATAGACCGCTGGCAAGTATCCTGGGGCCAGCTCCAAAATCCCGCCAACTCCCTGACAAGAACACATGCCATAGTTAAAATCAAATGGAATATCTTGAAGGATATAATCATGAAACTGTGAGCGCATGAAGTGCACATCTAAGTCAGATTATGCTACCTGTATAGCTTCTGCAATAAAACCAGCCACACGACCACTAGTTCCATAGGTGATCAAATCATCTAAATCCCTCGCATATTTCAGTCCGTCTGAACCAAACACACCTCTATATTGATCAGGGTTCAGGGCATGGTGAACTCCAGTCTGTTGGAATATGCATGGCAGATAACTTGCAAATGATTGGAATGACGATAAAACAAAATTTGAGGAGATAGATTGAGCACATCATTGTACAAGATAATGAGATATTACAGTTAAAAGAAATCTAGCCTAGCAATATATCTATGTTACAGTTAACACGCTTTTACATCTTTGTCTTTCTTAAGACTCTGAAAAGGAATTCCAATAACATCATACCAAATTTTTAAAAGCAGGACACGTTTGCTTAGATATATTAGTAAGAGATACAACTATACGACCATGGAATACAGTAACAGCTTGTTTGGATGGTTGTTACATGTTATATTGTATCGTATTGTTACTTTAAATACAATGTTTGTTTTGATTGCTACTTAAATTTTATAGTATCGTATCGTTAAATCCATCGTTACGTAATGGCGAAAAGTACCACTTTATGGAACGATCGATTCGGTGTGGTCGCATCGTTGCCTTATTTTTTTCTCTCATCTTGCCCTTCCTTATTATTAAATAATCCTATTTTATCTACCTTTTCATATAATTATTCTACCTCGTAGCTTACTTTATTTTATAATATTGCAAGTTTATCCCTCATATTGTTGGTGCATGATATCATATAAGTCAAAACAATACAGTACAATACAATACAATACTATACGATACATTATGAAATGATACCTAACAACCATCCAAACAAGCTGTTAAGGTATTCCTAGGAAATATTTTTTAGTACAAGGGTTGTATTGTGAAAAAATCTACTTTTTGGATAGTAAATTACTACAGAGAGAGCTACATTTTGATGAAAAACTTATATAACAACATCAATAATTAGTACTAAAGAAATTACTGGAAAAGTACCTAAATGCTTCGTTTATGAAGGTTTTAATGATCAAGCAATGCGTACAGAAAGCACAAGACACAGAATTCCAAGTTATACTTTAAAAAGCCTGCAAAGCATGCTTTCAACAATTTAACATTAAAGTGTACAAAAAAAAGATAATAAAGTGGCTGCATTGGGAGACATGCCTGTACAACATTGAACTTGTAGCTCGACTGGGCAGTGGAACCCATTGTCCCAGCAGCATTGCCATGATAGCCATTCCTAAGGGAAATAACATCTTGGCAACCAGTGTACAACCGTGCCATCATCAAAGCCAACTCATTCGCCTCCGTGCCCGAATTTGTAAAGAAGACAACCTACAAACCAATTAAAAGGAAAAAAATATACACGCCATCATTATAGATAAATGATATTCATGCATACTAATTGAAGAATAAAGTCAATGAACCTTGAGATCTCCAGGCAACTTGGATGCAAGTGCCTCAGCAAAATCAGCTACAGCATGATTCAAATACAAAACAGTGGAGTGCTGCAAACGCTTTGTTTGATTAACAATTGATTCAACCACCTCAGGATGGCAATGCCCACAACACACTGTAGCAATCCCTCCAAATGCATCTAGATATCTCCGCCCATTTTCGTCATACAAATACTGCATCTTCCCATCCACCAAATTCAACTGAAAACACAAAAATTAATGAATCGCAAAATCCCAATATTTGTATTTCGAAAAATTATAAAGAATCATGATTTACTGTAACTGAATGAGGATCGTTTAAGTTGTGTGCAGTGATATTCAAGTCCATAACAAACATTATCTGAATAACCCGAAAAATAAAGTAAATAATCACACTGATAAGAGTAAAAATGCTTAACACACAAATATACTTATTTGATCATGCGTCTTGAAATTCTTTTCTGATTAAGCGCGTGGAAATACTTATTTTGGGACTAGAACAAGGAGCAGTACACTTACGGGCTTCTTGTAAAAATGGAAGATGGCTGGGTTAAGATAAGTTTGGCGTTTGAGAAGGATTTCATGGGCGGAGGGACCGGTGTAAGGCGGCGGAGTATAATCAAAAGGGGGCATTTTGGGAAGTGACGTGTCATCTTCTTGTTGGTGAAGAGACGTGCAAGATTGCGCAACTGAGGAATTGGGTCGACAACTGAACAGGGACTGGGGCTGATTTTTTCGCAGCAGTGCCATTTTAGGGATGAATCTCCGCATCCTACACTAGATGATGATATATTCAACTGCCTTTGTTGTTGCTCCTCAACTCTTGGATGATGAAAGAGAGTGATTTGGGTGTGTGTTTGCGTATATATTTATATGCGCATACCTAGTATACAACACCCCCGAGATGCTATGCTGATTCAGAGTCACGTGTGATGAGTCATTCCTCTTATCAATGATCGAGTTGGACTTGATTACGCAACTGTATTTTTAATGTGCCAAACAGGCTTGGTGAATTGACTAAGAAACGTGCAATTTATGTTCTGAGTTTGATGGACTTTTGTAAACACTAATAATTCTTTAACAGGAGGTGTGTTTACCCTAAAATTGGATAACAATTGGGTTTATACGCGGTTTTAAGGTTACATGATATAACTTGATACAAATTAAGAAGAATAAATTAATATTGATATTGACGATGAAAGAAATAATGCAAACCACACGAATTGAACAGCCTTGGCCCTCGAGTTCAGTAACCCTTGAACCAAATATATTTCAACCTGCTTATGAACAGAATAACAAGATAATAAAAGCTAGAAAATGACATAGTGTTGGTGAATACGATGTGTTTATAAATGATCAGACCCCCTCTATATAGTAATGAAGTCCTACTCTAGATACAATTTTATATGAGGTAAGAAATCTCATGATTGACTAATTAATCGGCATCTTCTTGATACGTGCGGGGATTTGTGCTGATCCTCGTCCGACTGCGAATATTTTGACTTTCCGTTATTCGGCTCGGTAAGCTTTCTTCGATCTCTATCTTGTTCGGTCTCGATCTTAGTCGATCTCTATCTTGATCAGTCTCAGGACCATGAGCTCGGCAACCTAACTTTGCATCATGGTTCAATATAACTCGAGGTTGAACCTCGGTCCATCATATTCTGGTCTTGATTAATTATACAAAAGTACAAACCCGATCTTGACCACATCCAAGTTGATTCATGACAAATTTCATTTGGGTACTTCTCAGTGCACCACAAAATCATAAAATATTTCAACTTTGTCGATTCCATATTTTTGTACTCACGGCCGATGCTAAAAGCGGACAGGTGCAAAAAACACGCCAGCTTTCATGTCTCATTTGGTTACGTTTGTGGTAACAATAACGCGACATTTTATTTATCTATCATGGCGAGAGATCTGAATTTTGGAACTCCAGACATAAGCCATGTGAACCTTTAAATAAGATAAATATATGAATTATAGAAAACACATTAATCTATATCTATATCATATCATATCATCATATTTTATAAAATAGGAAGCTCTTACCATCAAAATTAAATTACGATAATACCCTTTAAAAATTGAGTTTACATTTTTGCCCTCGGAAAATAAAAGCTTTCAATCAAATAATATTGGAATTATATTAGAATTTAGCGGGTTATGCTATAGTACTTTAATGCCTCATAAAATCAATTCAACAAATACAATTAGGTTTGAGGCCATTCTTATTCTTCTTTAATTACTCCCAGAAACGTTCTCCGTCAATTGCTCCCAAAAATGATTGTCATCATGATTACCATTTTAAGAGAGTTGATTTGCTGGTTTTTTGTGCCCCTTCCATAGGCAAAGTCAGAATTTGAAATTACTGGGTTCTAAATTTTAGTTCTTTTAAGTTGTTGGATTCTAAATTAAGAATTTGTACGCATTTGATCACGTCCAACTATGCCTTATAAAAAGGACTAAGCGGTCATTGCAAATATAATCCGATTTACAAGTCTGAAGTCGAATCCCACAGAGAACTAAGGCTTAGCTACAACTGTTCGCTATCACTAAGAACACAAGCTTGAATAATTCCAAACTTATAGATATTAAGATTCTTGTGTTTAACTAATTAACTAACAAATTAAAATAGTAAATTAACACCTAAAGATACTAAGGGTTAGAGACAAGATTAAGGAGGTCTAGAGTTATGATTTCCCTTATTGTCGGAATCCTTCCCGCTACGTTTTCTATAAATTCGCCTAAGTATTCTCTACTGATCATGAGCGCTCTGACTATCATAACTCTCTCCCCAGTAATTACCATAATTTACTAGACATACTTTCCCAAATTACGCTAGTTGACATTAAGTACAACTCACTCGGATCGCACCCAAGGTTTCGTTATTCCTAATCCCACCTTTAAACCCTCCGTATTGATCCCTCATATACGTTAGGAGTGATGTTATTCAACAACTACCTAAATATGCACTCTCTCTCAAGTAATACATACTAAATAGGCATAGTCAATTGAGAGCTCTTCAACCAACCATAATAATAACGTAGTTGAACAATAGAGAAAATACTAAGGCAAATCTATATTAACATAACAGGAAAAATCATCCTTCAAGAGGTTCCATCAAAACCCTAGATAACAAATTAGCTATTCATAATAGTATGCATAACTACAATACTAGAATTCATAACCAAAAATGGAAATAGGAAGAAGGAAGTGAAAAACTCGTAGAAATATTCTCCGCATTGCTCCTAGTATGTTCTTGCCTCCTTAGGTTGAATCCCCGGTCTCCTTAGCCTCCTTAGGTATTAATTATGTCAAAAGTATGTCCAAAGTCCTCAAAATACTATTTTCCATATATATATATATACCAAGTAGGGTCGGGCCCAAACAATTCCACCTTCTCCTACTGATCACGCCCAACTCTAATCCTAAAAAGGATAAGCGGTCGTTGCAAATATAATCCGGTCTAAAAGTCCGGAGTCGAATCCCACAGAGAACTAAGGCTTAGCTATAATTGTTCACTATCACCAAGAATACAAGCTTGAACAATTCCTAACTTATAGATATTAAGATTCTTGTGTTTAACTAACTAACTAATAAATTAAAATAATAAATTAACACTAAAGATACTACAGGTTGGAGAAAAGATTAAGGAGGTCTAGAGTTATGATTTCTCAATTGTCGAAATCCTTCCGCTATGTCTTCAATAATTTCGCCTAAGTATTCTCTACCGATCATGAGCGCTCTGCGTGTTGTAATTCTCTCCCGAGTAATTACGACAATTTACTAGGCATACTCTCCCGAGTTACGCTAGTTGGCTTTAATTACAGCTCACTTAGATCGCACCCAAGGTTTCGTTATCCCTAATCCCACCTTTAAACCCTTGGTTATTGATTCCTCACATACGTCGGGAGTGATGTTGTTCAACAACTACTTAAATATGCATTCTCTCCCGAGTAATACATACTAAATAGGCACAGTTAATTGAAGTCCCTTCAATCAACCACAAGAATAATATAGTTGAACAAATAGAGAAAATACTACGGCTCAATTATATAAAAATATAACAAGAATTTATCCTACAAAAGGTTCCATCAAAACCTTAGATAAAAAATTAGCTATTCATAATAGTATGTAAAACTACAATACGAAAAATCATAACCAACAATGAAAAATAGGAAGATGAAGAAAAAACTCGTAGAAGAATTCCCCGCCTTGGTCCTTTTGTGTCTCTGCCTCCTTAAGTCGAATTTGTGTCAAAAATTGGTCTCCTCCCCTCAAAATACTATTTTTCCATGTATATATACCAAGTAGGGTCGAGCCCAAATAATTATACCTTCTCTTATGCAAAAAAGGACAAGTTTCCAGGCCTGGACGTCCGCGGCTGCGGTACTTTCCCACTGTACTGTCTCAGTCCGTGTCAGATCCGTGGTAGCAGCTTCGACCGCATTTTTAACCCTATTTAGTTTAGAATCTGGTAAAATGTAAAACACTAAAGTTGTAGCCCTTTGACTTAGCTTTCCAATCATATACTGTGGAGACCAAATGGAGTTTTGAGTAAAATGTTATATGCATTTAACTAGATAGTGCACAATATGCCTACTCGATTTTTTGTTTTGTTGCTCTATCATCCGTTGATCCCCGAATACGATCTCGGCTTAATTCCTTAGGATTTTACTCAGACTTCAAAACTCAAAATCACTTGAATTCATTCCATAACATCTACATAGCTCGGAATCACTATTACAAGGCATAAAACACACAATTAGTTCAAGACACTATCGATTAAAGCTCAAACTCAATTAAAGTGCAGTAAATTTGAGTGTAATAAGCGACTAAAATACGTAATCATAGCCTATCATCAACACCCCACACTTAAACCATTACTCGTCCTCGAGTAATCAAACTACACTTTTTTTATAGACACGACCTTTTTAAACAATTCTCCTAACTCATCACACCAATAGTATTTAAAATAGACTAAGCACAAAAGCGTAACATCTTCACCTCAAGATTTGACTCAAAAGTACCACGCATTAGTCATAACTCACCCACTTACTCTAACATAGAGGTCACTGACATTACCTTTCCTTCATAAATCAAGTGCCCTAACACAACAAAAGAGAGTAGTTCCACACAATAAAATTAAGAACACTTAGGAACTCAAGATAGAAAGAATTCACTCACTCTTAGAAATAACATTCATATGCCACAAAAGATGCACCATAAGCTTGTCTGTAGTGTACTACTCCACTAATCGAGCTCATTCAATCTAGGATCAATTAGGACTTTATTTGGTTGTAATGTAGGCTACGGGGCGGGTAGGATACATTTAGATATAAGAGTGACTACACCTCCCTAAGCACATTAATACATATACTTTAACATTCAAAGCTCATACTTATGTCAAACCAAACTCGACCTTCACATCAATATATATTACTTCATACTTCTTTAAGCACAATTATATCAAGAGTAACCACTTAATAAGGAATACTTTTTTTTTCATGGCAATACAACTATTTTTTTTTCAATTCAAGTGGCTATTACTTGTTCAAAACAGTGCACCTTTCTCCTGATTTCATTAGTTCCACTCAGAAGCCAAACCAACCACCCCACACTTTAACTTTTACATAGTTCATAACAATTCAAGTGCTCATGAGAGGATAAAAGGTTCAAATAGATGATTAATTCAAACAAATGGGTAAGGCTTGTAATGTGGTTTCCAAAGAAACAAGATTGCAGGCTCAAAGGGGTTAACTACGATACATAACAATTAAGTGGGTAAAATATACATATCTGGCTCAACAAATAAATGCCTATATCATTTTCAAGACTGAACAAAACTACAATTTCGCTTTGCAAACACACAGGGAAAGTTCTAGGCATCAAATGCAATGCACAGA